CGAAAATTTCCAAGAAGCCAACGCATAACTCGGGAACCAATAGAGCTACAGCGCCGCGGAAAAGCGCATTCGGTAGCCCTATTAACGCTCTTTCTGAGTAATTCTCTCAGTTTTGACCTAACGTCAACGGTTTTGGCTGCAGGGGGCAAAAACTGCAAAAATAGCCGATTTTTTCGGAAAAAGTTTTTCTGAAATAACTTTTGACCCAAGCTTGTACGAGCTTACTTTCACCGGCATCGTGTTCCTCTCGTCAAGACGCATCGAATGAACTATAATTGACCTTGAAAAGTCAACTTGAAAATTTGACCTCAGGTCAAGGTCATGACCTGACGGAAAGGGTCATGTTGCATATCAGTCGATCCGTATCGTCGAGCTGAACATATAAGGCGTTTTCATCGCTCTAGCATGCCTCTATCAAAAGTTATCTGCGAAAAACTGTTAGATACCATCGTGACCTAAGATGACCTCAGGGCATAAACAAGGGTCACGGACACCATTTTCATGTTCAGTGTGTCTAAACCACTTGTACTTCGGTGTTTGGGAGTGTTTATAATGTCTTTCGTCCAAAAGAGGCGCATTTCAATTTTCTCCCATTGACTTATAATGGGGAGGTCGCAAAATTGACCTGACCTTAGGTCATCGATATCAAAATTCTGAGATATACATTTTGTACATGCTATTGCTCTTAGCAATCGCTGAAAGTTTCAAAGCGATCGGTCACTCGGTGTAGCTATGACAGACATTGAAACTTTTTATGAGGTGAGGTCACTTCAAGTGACCTGGTGACCTGACCTTGGATGACCTTGGTCTGAAATTTTCACAACATGTGTAGAATTGATGTATGATAAGGTGTACCAAAAACGGCGGCGCTCCGCGCCGCCGTTTTTGAGATATTCGCGAAAAACCACAAGGGGGGGTGTTCAAACACCCCCCCCCCCAGCAGGGCGCGGGCTAGAAAACCAGCAGCAATACCACATACCACATCTGAATGCTTTTCAGCGTTTAGTGGAGAGATTTAGGATGGTTGCAGCGACACGGCCATGTGTGCGCTCCGGGCGCCAGCCGATGACCCCTGGTGAAATGGAAAAGGTCAAGGATTTCTTCCGGAAAAATGCCACAGCTCATGCTCTGCAGGCGTGCGAAGAGCTTAAAATGTCCATTGGAAAGGTATGGAAGATCCTGATTCTGTCATGATTGGCCTCCCTCGATCGAAGTTCAACGATCGGATCATCTCGCGCGGAGGTACCCATCTGCACTCGCCCGCATACAGTCCCTACCTGTCCTGCCTGGATTTCTCGTTCTGGACCCAAGCTTTGAATCGCGTGGTAGAATCGGAGCCGGAAACAATCAAAGAACTGAAAAAGGTCGTGGAGGACTTCGCCAGAACATAAGCGAGGAGCAGATGAGGAAGATGGTCCGGCACACACAGCGCCGGGCAGAGCCGTGCGTGGCGGAGTGAAGGTGTTATCTTTGAGCACTTCCTGTAGGAGACACAAGTGGCAAGCGGTGATCGCGATGATGTCATCATAAATGATAAACCCTCTTGAAAATGCATTTTGTGATTTGATAACGTGAGATGAAAATATATCTTTCTGATGCCTACCTACTTTGTTTCATTCATTAATGAACACCCGGTAATTAGGTTATCTTACAAACATAAAATGTAGAGCACGTTGAGGCACTCTAATAAAGTGCATTTAACTAAACAGATAATCATCTGTCTGTACCGAGATGTGACGACCATGTATGACGCTCTGCCGTCCGATAGCCGACGGCCACTGCACTGTAAAAAATGTTTACACACTTCGTGTTATGTGGGCAAATCTCACTAACAAAAGGTGTGTAAAGTTAACACGCATTTCTGAGATAAGTGTGTTTACCAGAACACGCAATACGATGATGGCGTGTTTTGAAACTCACCTGTCAGGTTTCTTACTCACTTTTGATTACACACGTATGCCTTGTTACCGTGTTTTAAAACTCTCTTAGAGCGCTGACTTACTATCAAAATGTGTGCAGAATAACTAAGAAAAACATGAAGTTAGTAGTGTGGGCAAATCTCACTAACCAAAGGTGAGTAAACTTAACACGTATTTCTCGGACAAGCGTGTTTTCCAATTACACACATATACCTTATTACCGTGTTTTTAAACTCGTTTAGATACTTTCACTTACTAACAAAATATGTGTCGAATAACACACCTTTTGTCTTCGATATTTAACTCCCACGTTGCACTTTTACACACATTATGTTTCGAAACTTGTCGACATTTTATTCAAAACATGTAAATTATCAGACATATAGATATTTATTCACAATCGATGGCAACACAAATCGAATTCCTAAATCCAAACGTTTCGACAGCAGTGTGCCTTCGTCAGTGGCTAAATTAAAAATATATATAATATCAAAAACAATCGCTATAAGTCGTTCACACACAAGACATACAAGATACAAGATACACATACAAGATTATACAAGACACAAGACTTATAGCGATTGTTTTTGATATTATATATATTTTTAATTTAGCCACTGACGAAGGCACACTGCTGTCGAAACGTCTGGATTTAGGAATTCGATTTGTGTTGCCATCGATTGTGAATAAATATCTATTCAAAACATGTTCGCGTCACAATCTGAGCCGCCATGTCACAAACGAATCTGAGACGCCATGCATCAAACGAACAACCGACTTGGATGCCTGGAGCGAATGACTATAGCACACATTCTGAGCTGCAAATACAAACGAACGCCGCCTTGCCAGGACAGGTGTCCACCAGGAACTGAACAACATCGTCACGTAAACATTAAAAACGACACAGACGACAGGAACTGTGTCATTTTGAGAAAAAAAAACGACACAGGAACTGAACTGAAACTGGAACAGTTTCAGTTATAACAGGAACTGAACAACATCGTCACGTAAACATTCAAAACAACACGGACGACGTAAACATTCTGAGACGCACTGTATCAAAGGATGTCGTGTGTGTGTGTGTGAGGGGCTTATTCAGTCAGTTGTTTGATCTGCTGAATACGCTTCAGGGCGCGGTTTCCAACCACCACGCTGCCCCGGGCCTTCTCAAAAACCTGCTCAGACAGGAATGCGAGTGCATTTTTTTGCGGTTTTTGTGGGCGGCTTTTGGTTATACACTGGGAAGGACGCCGCCCACAGCAGAAGGGCATCGCTGCGCGTCATTTCCACGTCCTCGACCACCCGCTGGCCCTCGACAACCAGTGTCAGAGAACCATTCGGGCTCTCCTCGAAGTGCGGCATCGTTTGGCTGCCAGCGGACCCGAATATCTCCTCTGGGTCCACCAGGAGATATTCCAGTAGCGAATCCACCTTGTCATCATCTGAAACAAACGGCAGTTACTTTTAGTTCCCAACCTTGCAAACAATACCTTGGTGTGAAATGTGAGGGTTCGGCGCATGGCAAAACGAATGGTTATCTCATTATTTCCGAACTAGAAGAAGTGGATGGATCATTCATTGCTAAATTATTCATGCCGCCTACCGAGGCTAAAAGACATGAAAAATCTGCGTTGCTTCTACCCGCGCCTGCCGATCGAGCGGCTCGTCAAAGGTAGGTATAAATGTAAGCTTTTCATGCTTCGCGGTTTACGTTCCTGACCGAATGTGACCCGAAGTTATTCAAGGGCGTCTTAGTCATCTTGGCTCTCATTCATGTTCGTGTTCGTCCGTTCATTTTATATTGTACGTTGCTGCAATAACAAAAACACATCCCATCACTCTGTCCTAAGCTCTCTCTAGCTCTCCCTCCGACTCCCTACTCTGAGTCGTTGCCAAGCAACCGTTGGCATGACAACCAATCTGGGCACTCCGATTGGCTAAGGTTTCCCGCCATACCGGGATCACGGATTGTGAAGGATGCTCAGTTGCAATTGCATGCAACTGGCCTCGGGGCACCTCTCCCGAGGTGGATCCACAATCCACCTACATCCCCCCATCGCCAAATCAAGACCTGGGCTCGCGCTTGAAGAGACGGGCATGCCTCGCAAGGGCCACATACGCACACAAGCACGATTAATTTAACATGTAACACACTGCTCGTTAGCGCACAGTTCGCGAACGAAAGCGATCCATTGTGCAGAGCATATTGCACATCTCTGGCGTAAGAGCGGCGGACGCGAGATATTATTAACCCGCGCCCTGCTGGGGGGGGGGTGTTTGAACACCCCCCCCCCCTGTGGTTTTTCGCGAATATCTCAAAAACGGCGGCGCGGAGCGCCGCCGTTTTTGGTACACCTTATCATACATCAATTCTACACATGTTGTGAAAATTTCAGACCAAGGTCATTCAAGGTCAGGTCACCAGGTCACTCGAAGTGACCTCACCTCATAGAAAGTTTCAATGTCTGTCATAGCTACACCGAGTGACCGATCGCTTTGAAACTTTCAGCGATTGCTAAGAGCATTAGCATGTACAAAATGTATATCTCAGAATTTTGATATCGATGACCTAAGGTCAGGTCAATTTTGCGACCTCACCATTATAAGTCAATGGGAGAAAATTGAAATGCGCCTGTTTTGGACGAAAGACATTATAAACACTCCCAAACACTGAATTACAAGTGGTTTAGACACACTGAACATGAAAATGGTGTCTGTGACCCCTGTTTATGCCCTGAGGTCATCTTAGGTCACGAATGGTATCTAACAGTTTTTCGCAAATAACTTTTGATAGAGGCATGCTAGAGCGATGAAAACGCCTTAGATGTGTTCAGCTCGACGATACGGATCGACTGATATGCAACATGACCCTTTCCGGTCAGGTCATGACCTTGACCTGAGGTCAAATTTTCAAGTTGACCTTTCAAGGTCAAATTATAGTTCGTTCGATGCGTCTTGACGAGAGGAACACGATGCCGGTAAAAGTAAGCTCGTACAATGCTTGGGTCAAAAGTTATTGCAGAAAAACTGTTTCCGAAAAAATCGGCTATTTTTGCAGTTTTTGCCCCCTGCAGGCAAAACCGTTGACGTTAGGTCCAATCTGAGAAAATTACTCAGAAAGGGCGTTAATAGGGCTATCGAATGCGCTTTTCCGCGGCGCTGTAGCTCTATTGGTTCCCGAGTTATGCGTTGGCTTCTTGGAAATTTTCGACATTCGACCTGGAAATCGGCGAAAATTTGCCTTCAATGACCTCTGGTGACCTGACCTTTGACCTGACCAAAAAATTGACCGAAGTGATTTCCTCATTATTTTTGACGCTCTTTCGAACGCCGCCTTCCGCGTATCGCTACGTGGCCCAGGAGCCGAGTTAGAAGGGGGGGTGTTCAAACACCCCCCCCAGCAGGGCGTGGAAATCCAGGACCCCCAGCCGGGCGCGGGTTAACATACGCGACAGAAAATACACAAGTGGCAATACACAAGCAGTTCATAGCACATGATCACACCCCTCGAATGCCCCTTTGATTGGCTCGCTACCGATATGGGATCCCTCTTAATCGGCATTGGCTGCGCATGACTCCAACCAGTCGGGGTGCTTACGAGTTAACAGGAATCATGATTTATTGCCGTTGTGACTCCGTGCCAGCTTGGTGGCGCTCACACAACAAAACTATGTACATAATACACATATGTGTCAAACGACTCGGCTACAAGCTCACATTGGGTTGAAGCGGTCTGGAGGATGTCGCTGGCGCGTCGATCTCCGGGGTGTCGGCACGGGCAACGGCGACCTTTTAACCTGTTGGGCTTCAATTACCTGCAAACCAACTGACGTACTCGGGTCCCACTCAGATCCTGAGCACCGGTCATCAGTCTCAGCCGCCGTCTGATCCTCGGACTCGACCTCATTCCCCGAGTCACTTACCGTGGCCCGACTCGTCCCAGGTGCACCCGCAGTGCTGCCGGTACACGGTCCGCCAGCGGGGTCGCTGGGCTCTGGATGGGTAGCGCTCAACATCTGATTGTCAGTGCTTACCGAAACGCTCCTATCTCTTACCACAGCTCTCTCGCTCGCTGTCTGGGGTGTGCGACGCCGGGTCCTAGCTGTTGGACTTAGCCGGTTGTGGTGCACTATGATTGTCCTTCGTGAGCCCTCTAGCTGCACCCGATAATTCATGTCGCTCACTTTGGCCTTAATGATAGCTGGTTTGTATGGCCGGATAAACTTATAGTACTGCCCTCGCGGTACTACTCCTCGGTGGAGCAAAACTCTGTCTCCCGGCTCATAAGTAAACTGGTTCAGTTTCGTCTCATAAATGGCCTTATTTTTGGTGTGACTCGAGTTGGACGACTGCAGCGCCTCGGTGTGCATTTTCTGGAGACTGGCTTGCAAATTCTCAAAGTATTCGATCACCGTTTTAGACCGATTCCGTATAGGGCTGTCCAAGCTGATTTCCCCTGGGAGCCTGACACTTCTCCCGAACATCAATTCATGTGGGGAAAAACCTAGTGAACGGTGGACCTGTGACCGATATCCCAGCATCAGAAGGGGCAAATGCTCATCCCACTTGTCATGGTCACTCGTCTCCAGATACTTTGACAACATTGCCAAAATGGTTCTGTTGACCCGTTCCACTACTCCGTTGCCCATTGGGTGACAACTGCTGATCGTTGATCGTTCTATTCCCAACATATCGCATGTTTTAGTTAAAACGTCGCCCACGAAAGAACCTCCTTTGTCAGAGTGAATTCGCGAGGGTAACCCGAATCTGCTAATGAAATCATTCACCAGCACCCTAGCTACACTGAGTGCCGTGAGATCGCGCAGAGGGTACACCTCACACCACCGAGAGAAGTGGTCAACAACGACTAAAAGATGTTTATTGCCGTTTGTAGTGCACGGCAGCCCCGAGAGAATATCCATTCCCACCACCTCCATTGGTCGGGATGCGGACAACTGGCCTAACGAAGCTCTCGGTGCAGGAACTGGAGGGTTTCTCGTCTCGCACCGCTCGCACTGATCGCAGAATTCCTGCGCATCCCGCCGAACGGATGGCCACCACATCCGAGCTCTGATTTGTGCGGTCAATTTATCAGCTGCAAAATGACCACCTGACGGGCCACCGTGCATCGAGCTGAGCACCTCCCGTACCAGTGACTGTGGTACCACCACCTGCAACTGATCCTCATCTGAGGGACGCCTGCGATAAACCCGGTACAAAACGCCGCCCAGTAACCGCAATTTGGCCCAGTGGGAAAGGTAGGGCACGCTGTGCTTTAACGCTTTCATATGCGGCTTCTGTCCCCGCGAGAGGTGGTCGGTAATCTCCGCTATCGCCGCGTCGCTTTGCTGTTCATTCTTAATGAAACTCAAAGACCAGTCGAGGCAGTGAATCATGCGGCGACACTGATCCTCTTCGGTCTGTGTCGCGACGTCAGCCGTCGGCTCGGGTCGGCGGCTGAGGGCGTCTGCTGCAGTATTCTCCTTCCCCGGTTTGTAAGCAATGCTAAATGAATACTGACTGAGAGTCTCTAACCAGCGCGCCAGCATCCCTGAAGGGTTTTTGAATTGCATCAGCCACTGTAGGGACGCATGATCACTCCGTAGCGAAAAACGTTTTCCAACCAAATATGGATGGAACAATCGCACAAAGACAACAACACTTAACAACTCCTTTTTAGTGACACCGTAATTTTTCTCGCTTTTTGACATTCGTCTGCTACCATAGGCTATGAGTCGCTCCTTTCCATCTTGTCGTTGCAGTAACACGGCTCCTACCGCGTCATCTGAAGCGTCACACTCTAAAATGAACTCCCCTGCATCCTTGTCGAAACGGGGCAAGGCGAGAACTGGTGCGCTGCACAGCGCGTCCTTAAGCCGGTCAAACGCTGCCTGAGCATCATTGCTCCAAATGAATCGTACGTCTTTGTTTGTCAGACGGAAAAGAGGGGCTGCTAGGGAAGCGAACCCGGATATATATTTCCGGAAATAGCCTTACCTTACCTTACCTTACCTTCAAGGTGTTCGGGTTAAAGAAGGCCACTTGGCCTGAGGATCCCGCTCTCATCGAGCTCGTGAGGATGTACATTCTGGACTCTTAGGGGAAGGGGATGTCGTACATCTTGTTCTTCCAGTGATTGTCCAGCCGCGCCTTGAATTGGTTCACCGATGTCGCTGACACTACGGAGTCTGGGAGTGAGTTCCAATCGTTGACTATTCTGGTGCTGAAGGCGTTTCTGCGCACAAGCTTCCTAGCTCGTGGCTTGTCCAGTTTCCAGCGGTGTCCTCTTGTCCGGTCAGACTCGTTCCGTATCAGAAACTCCTCCGGTGTCAGCGCCATGCCTCCGTGCAGCAGCTGGTACACGGTGATCATATCACCTCGGCGTCGGCGATAGTACAGTGACGGCATTCCGAGGCTACGTAGTCGTTCAGGATATGTCAGG